TTTCATGTTGAAAATATTAAGCAGAAATTCTTTATCTATTACAATCACAAGGTTGGACCAAACAGAGACTGGTATTTACATATAAACAATCCTTCTAGATTGTCTATGATTTATGTCTAAGGAAAACAGACACAGATCTCTGTCTAGTCAACTGCTCTTTTGGAATCTTGGTCCTTTGTTCTGTATCATTATCCTGGTGGAAGAGTCGATGTCGATTCATCTTTAGTTTGCAGGTTAAATCTACTAGATTTTTATTTAGGGTGTATTAACACCAGAAAAGGCTTTTGGTCTGCTTGTTTTCGTCCAGACCATTAGTAGATTATTTTGTTGATTTGGTCCTGCTTTGATTCAGGCTGTCCGATTTGCAAATGGACGATACCTCACAGCAAAGCTGGACGTGCAACAGTTGTTGCTCCTATTGCTCTAAAAATAACCGTTGCAGGAGACAGCTCTTTTTTTATATCTATACTGTTATTACCGCTGCAAAAACTTTTGTAAGTGGGAGGATGTAGATTTAGAGCCATTTAATTTTTTATTTTGTGATGATACTACGTTTACCATTATGGTGGATCGGTTCCTTGCCCAGTTTGTTTTCATAACGGAATTTAACTACACTACAGTCGTTCTAGATGCGGACAACCTGAAAATGTAGGTCTGGTGAATGTAGTTTACTGGCCTTAAGTTACAACTACACAAAAAAGTCTGGATCAAGGGGCTGACTCAAGCTCTGGTTCGTTTAAAATAGAGATGCACCAATCCATTTTTCCCACAATCTAATACAATACCAATACATGGGCTTTGTGTTGGCCGATATCCCAAACCGATTTATTATTGCTGTTGAATAAATTAACTATATAATGTACTGTGTGAGTAAAGGCATCACACTTGACATAAACATTGTTAAAAAGGTAACAAATCAACACAGTTATAAATCATTACCAGCTGCTGTATATTCTGCGAACTATGATTTAATCAGTGTTGCAATCATAAAATTGACGCCACCAGATTGCTGTTACTGTACTGCTATGTATAATAGCAATAAAAATAGAAATGACTGGATCGAAATGCTTGATTGACATCATTCTTCCGATATACAATGCAGCTAATTAGTCAATATCGGTGTCGATATCTGATATTGGTGGATCTCTGGGACGTCATGCATCTAACAACATTGTGGCAGCATTTGTAAGATTAACAGACCAACACTATCATAGCTCATCCACCACATTCAAAATTAGCATGATTTGCTTTTTCACATTCCATCTCATCAAACCGAGAGGTTTCCATTTAGCATCCTCCACATATTTTTGTTGGTGATTATAGGACAGATCATTTTTTCCCCCCCAGGTATGTCCCATAAACCATCAGTTCCAATATAGATCGCTTCTTATGTCAGCTAGAGATAAAATTAGGCCAGAAGACGCTAACCTTTGCTGTGGCTCTCCAACAGCAAGCTTTAGAGATATTTTTTACAACTTTTAGTGACTTCAAAGTGTTTAGTGGCGAGGAAAGAAGAAAATCTAGATAAAGGCCTTCTATGCTTTTTGCTGAGCAAAATACTAAAAAACAAGCCAGGAAAAACAAGAGGAAGCAAAAAGAAAAAAACAAATCTGAAGATGACAGTTTTGTTTCCTAAGGCTACAGACCAACATTTATAAAACCTGTCACTGGGAGGCAGGGCAGCCTCTTCACTCTGCCTTAAACTCACAAAGACGCCCTGGTCAAAGCCTACTGAGCAGACACCCTTTATGTGCCTGTCTAACCCCCAGCCTCATTTGATGTTGTTCCCACTGCTGTTAGTGGGAGCTTACATCTCTTCAATATTAATGGACCATGGTGGGAGGCACCCTGGTACTTAATAGAAACATTAATTATTTAAAAGGTCTATCTTGTTTTAGGCGCATCTACTAATGTGCTAGTATGTATACAAATCAGCTCATGATGGGGCTTTGGTGCATACAATCACAACCAAATTTATTAATAAATTCAGCCCACCGGGGGGATGTCTGCATCTTAAAGAAACTGTAATCAATGAGAGACAAGAGGGGGGGTTCAGGGCGGAGCAAACTTCACTAGCAATGAAAAGGAAAAAATAATCGGTGTGTCTGTGTTTGAAGTACATGCTCTGAGCTGGTTTTGCACCCTACAGTCACAAAGAAATCTGACTTGAGATATCTCAAAGCAGCCCTCCTCATAGTTTCATAGCCTTCCCAAAAACCTCAAAGAGAAAACCCACCCCTTAAAAGACTGGCTTCTTTAAAAAAAAGGGCAGAATTCAATTTTTACATTTTTTTACTAATGACTTTCAGGTAAAATTGTTTACCAATTAAACTAGCTTTAACAAAACTGCAGATAAAATGTGTTTCATTTCCTTAGTTGCTTATTGATTTTTCGAATTCACTCCAATAAGCTTAAGTCCGTCAGGCTTTTCCAACAAGGCTTACACAAACATGATATTCTCTGTAAATATTTGCGCCATGTTAACAAGGAAACAATTATTGGAAATATCTACCGTGACACCTTGTCCACAAAGCAACAGCTTTAATCAATAGACCACTGAATAACACCAATGATCCAACATTTCTGCACTAGCAACCTTTTTTGAAATATGCATCTAATTTTTTTAATACAAACTTTATAAATTGCCCTTTATGTTAATAATATTCCTAAAAAAAATCAGCATTTCTATTAAATAGCAAATCTCAGATTCCTTTTGGATGGGGGTAACAGCTGGTGGGTACCTAACCTACTGTCAGTAAATGCAAGGGGCTGAGAACAGAAATGTTCCCTTGTTTTATCCCAAAAGGTATTTTGGTCCAGCTAAAGTCCCAAATAACAGACATTACGATGTAAAATGCATGCAATACAGACAAACAATAAATAATAACAAATAACAAAGCATTAACAAAGCATTATTGGAGGTTACCACTTTAAACCATGTAATTATTGGTTCTCAAAAGTTTAAATTAACGAAGCATTGCTGTAAAGAAGAGAAAATTCTTTATGGTAATAATTATCAATTACATAAAAATAAAATCAGAAGAAGACGGAAAATAGGAGCGATTTGTGGTCGGGGCGAAACTTTTGAAAAGAAAGTAAATGTTTAGGTCTTTTTTACAAAAAGAAATAAATAAGATTAGCAAATCAATTAAGGTCCTTGTTAACTTAGGTTTTAATTGGCTAGAGTTTGATCTAAGTGTGTGGTGGTGAGGTAGGATGTTGGATAAATCTATGTGGAGGCAGAGAGGTCTGGTGGGTTAACCACAAAGCACTGGTGTGTTACCAAGCCTAATTAAATAGTCAGTCCCTACTGGCCCGACTCCTCGGTGACAGCGAATGCACCAGTGTGGAGGAGAATGTGGTCTGAGCAAGCAAGGGGTCCAATTATGGAAAAGTGTAAACTGCTTCCAGATCATGACCCAGGTGTTGCTGAGGTGGAGGATATCGTACTAATGGGCGGGGCTTTTGACATGTTAGGGTTGAGGAGAATGACAAGAATAGAGCTGTCACTCATACATATGATATGAGTGGCAGCTCTGTGATCTTATATATACATTTATATAAACCCTGGCCACTTTAAGGAATAGTTATTTAGACTTTTGATTGCAAAGTTCTGTTGCCAACTATTTCTCTGTGCCAAAGTTACTTTCAAAGACCTGATTTAACCTTGTAGGAAGACAAAAAGAGAGAAAAAAATTAAGTCTATGAGGAGTCATCTGTACCGACTGCAAAAAGACAAAGCAGATGTCAAAACAACAGCCCTTTAAAACTGAATTTCTCTGTTATATGCGAGTTCTCCCCCACTTTGCCCTTGCCAAAATCATGAAGGTGAAGTTAACTCTGAGCGTGACACATTCAACCACATAAACAATTAGGTGCACATTTCTTCCTCGCAATTAGATAAAGTCAGACAAAAGGCTGTCAGACACGAAGCATTTAAAGATCTTGAAGAAGCAGGTGCAGAACCGCTGAGGGAATCTAAGTGAAGGTTTATTCTTATTCATGTTGGGTCCAGACTAAACAGGAGAAGAATGGAATATCTTACAGTTTTTTATAAAGTAATTTGGATATTTAATAGGTAAGTAGTTCTACATGTGTCAGAGCAAATATGTGCATCTATTTTGAGCTCAAATTCAGTGTTGTCTCCAAAGATGAAGAAAGCAAAACCTGTTTAAAGCACAGATATGACCTAATTTATGACCTAATTTCCTTTCAAATATATATAAAAAAAAAATATATATATAATTAACTGTGCCTAGTATTACTAACCTACTCAAGGAATGTCCATGGCTAGAGAACTATTTGGTAAAAGGCTTTTGAAAACTTTGAAGCTGCTGAAACTTAATTTTATCTACATAAAACTACAAATTTCAGTTTTAATGATTTTGATTCATCACAAAGACCAGAGGTTGGATTAAAGGTTCATCAAACCAGAGGGCAACCAACCTAAACATGCGTAAACTATACAAGTAATAGTTCAGGCCTTAATTCAAGAATGTATCTTTGGCAGGATGGGAGTATTATTCTTACAAAGTCTGCTTTGTCAGTCTGACTGAGCTTGATCTATTCTGCAAAGGAAACATTTTAATCTCTAGGGGAGCAAAACAGATGTAATATCGCCCATAAACATTTCAAGTTGTTCGCCAAATGAACTAACTCTGAGGGGTTGAATGCATGCCACACTTATCAGATTGTTGTCACATGTGTACAAATGTGAAAACCATAAAATGTCTTTTACTTTATAATGATGCATTGTTCCGTGCCCATCTTGAAATAAATTCTCACCAAAGAAAACTGAAACATGTGGCTCAAACAGGTCAACGTTTGAACTGCTTCCTGCTTTTGCAAAGCATTTAAATGTCACATTACAGGATGATCTTCACTGATGGAATATGGAGGTCTAAAGGTCCAGGTTGCAGCAGAAGCAGACTAATAGACTGACTGCAGCCTTTTCCCAGTGGGCAGGCAAGAGGGACAGAAAACTGATTATCAGTGCAAACCTCAGTGATGCGTGGGTTGGTACACTTCACGTTCTTGGTGGACAGGTTGAGCCAGCGAGTGGTGTAAGGGTTGATGAGAGGGCAGTGATGTCGCAGCGTGCACCTTCCCTCTCCGCTGCACCAGCCACACTGGAACTTCCTGTCTGCCTTCAGGCACATGCCACAGCTGTCTCTCTGGGCTGCACACTTGTACAGATGCACTGGGGGATAAAGCAAGAAACACAGTAAATATGAAACAGTTGAGTGTTTTTAATTTGTTATTTTAAGCAAAGCTGACATCTTGCATGCTGTAAGATTACCTCTTCTGTAATGGAAATTGTTTTAAAAAAGAGAACTCATAAAAAGAGTTGAAGGAGATTCGTTTGCTTATTTCTACCTATTCTAAAACACACACTGTTCTTACCTTGTATATTCTCTGGGTTGTCAATAATAAAGTTGCCATTCCACACCACTGAAAAATCCACAGGCAGCTCACTGATCCTCATCCCCTCGTAGAGATACTGGAGGCCAGAGGCAGCGAAGCAGAAAAAGAAAGAGACGGAAGTGAAGATCACAATGGAAGCGAGACAAAAAAAGGAGGGAAGATTTCAATGGGAGGTCTGGGGATTGGAATCCCTGTGGGTTCTTGTATAGCAGTAGCAGCAAAACGTCCTTCCTATGTTACAGCAAACTTACATCATCTCAATCGCTGAGCTAACACACAGGAACCACCCAAAAAAAAAAAAAAAGTGGGTCAGTTGGAAACATTGAACTTCTTTGGTTCTCTCGTTTGTAATTACCTCAGCTGCGTCTACCATGTCTGCTTTGAATAAGCCGTCACAGAAACACAAGCACATGCCTTATGCAGCTAGACTTACAGGAAGTAATGCATGGTATTCTTGCTTATACAGTGGTAATAGTTGGTCGAAGTTGCCAGCAATTAAAACAACCAGCAACATTAATTTACCTTCTCAAACAATGATTTTAGACTATTGCAACATTTAGCTAAATTCTCTGGTGGGGTCATAAACAATAAAGGTGATTAAGTAAAAAAAAAATTGAGAATTTAAAGAAAGGTATGCTCCTAAAATAGAAATAATAATAAAAATCAGGTTTGAAACATTTAAAGGTCCCTAACATTTCAGTTACAGTTTTCTATTTGGGTTCTCAGTTATGCTTTATTTATGTTATTCTGTGTTTGTCAAGATTTATTTAATTTTTCAATTCTCAAGGTTACTCTCCCTTGTTATTTCTTTCAGTTATCTCTTTTCAGCATTTTTGGTATTATTTATATCCTGGTCTAGCTTTAGTTGTAGTAATCAGTAAGACGTTCTTTTCCTAGCTACAGTTAGATCCTGTTGTTTTCCCTGGTTTTCCCCCCTAGAGTCCCATTCCTTTCCCCTTAGCTCCTTTCTGGTTCCTTCTGTCCACACCTGCTCCCTGTCAGCTGATTAGCCCATTTATTGCTCTATCTCCATATATGCACCACCTGTGTAGTTCCTCTTGGCTGTATTTTCTTAATTTCTTTATTTATGTTCATCGCAATTCTCTCCTCATTTTGGTTTCTAAGCTTTCTTCCTGTTCAGTTTGGGCTTATGCTTCTGTTGTAACTAACATTGTAATTTAACCTACAAGAACCCGTCTCTGCTTCCGCCTCTGCATTTCGGATCTTTACAAACATCCACCAAACCAGTCACAGACTTTAAAGTTTGGGCTGCTTGTGGAGTGTAGGTTAAACTAAAGATACAATTTTGTTTGTAAAAGTAGAAAAACCCAAGGCACTGCAATGGCACTACATTACAAAAAACACTGACACTGATGTAATTGCATTGGAGCATAACTCCTCCCTAAGCCAGTCTGTTCTTACAGCCTTGAATATCTGTTGAGTGCATTAATCTTTAAGGACGACCAGACCTTCATATCTGATCTCTTTGGCCTTCATCGTTTTTCTCGTTAAAAAAAGGAAAGCTGCACTTAGGCTTTATTTGCTCTATCAAGAAATTAGCAGTTTGTATTCTAAATTTGGTATGCTGTTGCTTTTATTATGTAACCAACAATCCAACTTTGAACAAGTCATATAAATTAGGTAAGTCTTCAAATGTTGATTTTTTTTTTCTGTAGATACTAAACACCTAAATACACCTAAATAAAACACTAAATGAACTATAATGACATCTACGGATTTCAAAGGACAGTGGAGTGATGCGTCTGTTAAACTCATTAATTTCCAAAATGTAAAAAGACGTTAAAATATATGTATGAGATTATATATGCATAAACATACTGAAGTGAACAAATTAGTAATAATGAATAAAAAACATGTGTAGTTTTAATATTAGTGAATTTTCGCCAATCTGTGTGAAACAAACAGCTCTGGTCTATGAGGACACAAAACCATTTGCTTTGTCTGCTTTATAAATCTACATAATGTGTGTTCGTTGCCCCTATTAGTATACTTAGCCATTTGTTTAATTGTCAGCAAATTACAGCAACACACTGAAACCCTATTTGTTTTATTGGACTATTTTAGGAGATTGTCTTTTATCTGAGCATTCAAAGAAAAAGGCAAACAGGTTTGCAACACAACTGGATTCGGAAATTTCACAATCAATGGACAATCTACATACAAATACTTTCAATTTTCAATTGTCTAAAAGCCAAGCCAAGACAACTGGCTAAACTAAGCAGAGCCTAAGCAAATGTTTCTCAGCCTACCGAGCTATTCTGGCACTGAACGCTGGAGCTGTTGAAGCGGAGGGCAGTAACTCGCTGGCTGACCCCCTGGATGTGGAGGACACATTCATAGCCTCTCTGGCCAGACTGAGGCTGTGGCAGGTTCTTGGCCTTTAGGGTGATTGGCTTCACCTCTCCTGCTGGGATCAGAATCTCCTCAGAGGGAACCAGCTGGGGACAGTCCTGGAGGGGGCAGAGAGCAGAAGAGTGTCAGCAAAAGACAAAGAGGAAATTGCATTTTGGTGTGAAGGTCACCAGCAAGGACAGAGGGAGATAACAGTCATGTGGTCATCATGAATAAGAAGAACTAAATAGATAAAGAGCAAGGATTGGAGCAGAAGTGGAGTGTCATTATTTTAGTTTAAAGTAGCACCACTACAATCAAACCCTTTAGAGCCAGAGCTGGGGAAGTTTCAAGCTGCTTCCTTCTCACAAGACTGACATGGTCAGAGTGACATTGTTAAGACTTGTTAAGCTCAGTCGCTCTGGGGATAATGGACTGTTAATTGCTGTTGCAGAGAACAAGAGCTCTGAATGAGAGGCAGCATTTTAGAAAAATAGAGGAGCTCCAATGGCTGTCTTTCTGAAGACATGCCCGGAGGCTGACAGAGAGCTGAAACACAGAGAGGGATGCAAGCAGAAGGAAACTGAGACAAGCTCTGTGTGTGGAGACAACACAAAAAAAGCAGAATTGATCCTCTTTTGTGTGCGAGTTTTGCACCAACCTCAGAGGTGTTGACTCGCCCCTCTTGGAAGGAGCAGCTGGACGGGTCATGGGTACACAGGTTGCGGTATTTGCACCAGTGGCAGCGGAAGGCACTGTTCACACATGACAGACACCTAAGTGAAGAAAAAAAAAACACAGACATGGACAAATGGTGAGCGGTTCACAGTCAAGAAGGGACAGGGAGTTTGCCAAAATGGGGGAAGTGCCACAAAGGAAATGAGTTCATGTCCCAAGTAGGAGCATGCTGTTTATGCTCCCTTTTTGCCTGGCACAGCATCTCAATCGCTGCAGGACCCAGATATGCCTGCATATATTTAGTGCTGCCATACATTCATCCATCGACGGCAGACTTAATATTAGTCCTCATAACCACAATCAGAAGGGGAGCAGCTGAGATGGAGGAAAAAACTTCAACTAATGACGACAAACAAAACTTTGGATCAGCTTGATCCTGCAATTACCATTAGCCCTGCATTGTTCCACTAGTTATGCTATAGCATGGGGACGAGTATTTCTGAGTCTGTTTGGATCATATTGAAGGTCAGCGGTGGAAGAAATCAACAAGTCAAAGAATTTAAGTAAAATTCAAATATCTTAGAACTCAAAAGACCAAGGAAATAAATCCACCAAATAAACTAGTGAATAAAAAAACTAATAAACTTGATTATAAATTCTGTATCTAAATCTTTGAGTTCTGGGGGATCATCTTATCTATTGGTATTCCCACACCCTTTATCACTGTAATGTGCAGGTTTTGTCTTGCGCCTGCACACTTCTAATATGTCTGTTTGCAGTAAGCTATAGTTTCAACCATTCATCGTAGCTCCACTGATCTTATTGTATACTTTCAAAATTTATGAGATGCAAGAAGTGAATTGGCTGACAAGTTTTAGAGAAGAAGAAGAGCAGGTAGAAACAGTGTTGCACCACCTTTATTAAAAACAGGATTTGGGTGTTTCTTAGCAACATTTCTGGAAAAAGCATTCACTATACCTTTAATTATCTAAATAAAACTGACTGAATAAGAAAAATTCACCTTTTTTGCTTGTATTTATATTTTGATTGCTTAAGTTTTGTTTTATTTTTATTACAGCTACAAGTTTTGCTTCTTTAGAGAACAAATACCCAAATAGATAAAAATGTTTTTTAGTAAAAACAAACAGCTCTTTTAGTGAGCATTTATTTTTTAAGGCTTCAGAGCTATGAATATCTGTAAGGAACTAAACACACCTAACGTCTTAAAACGTATTAAAGAAACAAGAAAATAATTAACCATCAGACTCAACCATTGAATAATCAGGACATGGAATAAAAGCAACTAGTTCAGATTACATACTAAATTAATCTATGATCATTTTAAAATGATCTATTACCATATAAACAACCTTTAACTGCCACTATGGCATCCAAAATAGACCTGAACATTTTAGCAGCACAGTAGTTTATAGCTTAAATTGTTCAAATCCACCGTTAGCCCTGCTGACTGACTTTAAATGGTGGGGCTAACAGTATAATGTCATTAAGCGCTACAAACATGGTCTACCTAAATATTTAAAAAGGTTTTTACTATATAATGGATTCAGTTTGTAAATTAATGACTAGCTGATTTATTTAATAATCTGCGTCATAAATATTTGAAATATCTGTATAATTATGACTGAAATCCAGCAGTTTGGTTAATCTGTGTATTACAGCTTGAAATGCATTATTACATTTATAAATACCTATTTGACAGCTTGTTGATGTGTTAAATATTGGAACTTTAACACTTAATATCATCACTGTGGGACATATTGCTATGACTCAAAGCAGGGTTCAGATCCTGAGCTACGTTTGTTTTGGCAAATTATTCCTAAACATACTTAATATAAAATTCAGATAAAAAACAATGAGATAAATCTGAGAGAAAGCTTTGGAATTTATGGCCCAAGAACTGCAGCTGGTTGTTCAGATCCCTGCGTGGCTGTTGGGTTTGTAAGGTTGCTTGGAGGATTGTAACAGAAAATCAAAGATTCTTTATACAAATCCACTTCAGTGAACATGTGGGAATGCAATAAACTTTATACAAAACTTATCATTACTGATATTCAAGAATACTCAGGGGAGGAGGATGCGAAGAAGAGACAATGTGTATAAGAATGGAACAGAACAGAACAGACAACTTCAAGCAAGGCTTTTAAATTGAGAACATAACTGCAGGCGGAACACTGGTTATTGTGTAAGCACATGAAGCGAACCTGATTTAGCTGAAGTTGGTAAAATTTATTATAACATTTCCGCAGGGGGGGTATTTGAGTAACGCAGTGTTTCTTGGAGGTTAAAGGCAATTCAATTTGTGTTTCTGTCATATTTACCAAGGAGTTTTTTTTTTTTTTATTGCCCGTGGTTTATCTATCTGTTTGTCTCTTATGAATTTGTCTCTTACAAATACCTGAAAAAGTTATCAATGGATTTTGCTGAAAATTTAAGAGAAGGTGTGCATTGGGACTGGCTACATATTATTACATTTCAGTGATGATCCAGATCACCGTCTGGATACAGGATATTTTTTTGTTTTAGTCCTAGCTGTCAGATAACATTTCTGGTTTGATAGAAAATTAGCCAAAATATTTTTCTGTATATTAGTTAGGGATGTCCCTGTCAGGTTCTGTGGAGGCTTTTAGAGGACCCAAATGCAGAGCCGGAAGCTGAGGGGGTTTCTTGCAGATTTAAAAAGTAGTAGTGGCAAAAAAAAAAGCATAAATAAAAACCTAACTGACCGAGGAACACAGAAACCAGAGCAAAGGGGAACACATAGATCAATGAGAGAATGAAGGAATGGAGGGAATCCAGCAATGAGTAATTGCAGAGGAGAAGTATAAATGCCAAACAGAACAAAGGAAGGAGTAATCAACTGATTGGGAGCAGGTGTGACAGAAGGATCTAGAAGGGAGCTAGGGAAAAGTCGTCTGGAACAAGGGGGAAACCAAGAGTAAACAAGAAATACATAAGAACTCAAATACAACCAGAAAACCACTAGAATGACACGAAATAAAAATAAAAAACTAGAAAAAACAGAATGACATAAAACAAGGTGTGACTGAAAACTCAAAAAGTAAACAAACAGAACCAAAAAGTGCAAAATCATGGCACTACTGAACTAATCCAGAGTATTTGATTTGGGTCTAGATAGCAATGTTGTACAAATACAAAGCATTTACTGTTTTGGTCATTTACAAACATTTATCACACCTGCATTTATTTATAAAAAAAATCCAGTTATTCAAAATCCTGCTTGATGTAAGCAACCTAGAATGAGCTATACTTTCATTACTGTGGTTCGCATGTACTAATATTAGAAAACAAAAAGAATCATTAAATGTTTCAACAGCAAAAAAGCGTAATTTTTTAACAGGTATTTAACAAGCAAGTTTTAGTGTCAGAGTCAAAAGCATTGCAAGAACTTCTGGCAATAACAAGGATAAAATGGAAGAAGGTGGTCTTTTCACCTTTAGGCAAACTGAGGGCTGAACGTGTGAAAAAAGGGCAAAAGGCTGAGCAGGACTTAAGGCATTAAAGCATGCATAGTAGAGTCTATGCAAGTGTATTCATGAGCTTCTGGGTGTGTGTAACTGTGTGTAAGAGTGTGGTTGTCATTCCCAGTTAACCGAGCTGATGCTAGAGAGCTGGTAATTCAATTCTGTGCCACCCTGATAGGGTTTTCAGGCTGCACAAGAAGAGATGGAAGAAGCGAGGGACTCAGAGTAACAATGCCCAGTGGCTAAAACATTTTGTTTTAATGTCAAAGGGGTAGTCAAGGGATAATATGACATGCTATCATTTCTGCAGGACTGCCACGCCAGCCTTACTCCACTGCCTCATCTTTCCCTTTTACAGAGTCAGAGAGGCCTTTGGATCTTGCACAAACAGAGTCTGCCTCAGTGGAACAAAGCAAACAATTGCAAAGGCAGTGCAGACACTGAGATCTCCAAACCAGGGATTCAACACAACATCAATCAATCAGGAATGGACACAGCATGAAAATGGGCGTAAATTTCTCTTATGAGGACCCAATACACCAAGAGCTTTGGGTATTGTACATCACCTTGTTTTAAGAAAGAAAGCTTCATTAGCACAACAATAAAGAAACAGTGGGGCACAGGGAGTGGAAAGAGATGGGACGATAGTTTTACAGAGGATATTTTTAGAGGATTGGCAGGACGAGATGAAGACAAAATTGAAACAAGACTCCAGAGATTTAGTGCTTTTCAGTGCCAAGTTTGTTTTAGCAAAGGAAATGAAATGGAGGCAAATACTTACAGCTGATGGACACTACAGTTGTAAAACTTGATCTCAGTGCTGATGAGCATCTGACCAGTCTCCTTAGAGTTAAGCCTCAGCTCAACACCTGACCAGTCTGAAAAAGAACAGATAAGAAATCATCATTCCTAATTTGCAGAGATGGAAATGGAATCCAATGCTACTTCCGGGAGTTAATTGCTTTTAGCTTTGGATTTATACATAAGACTTTTTTAATTGTATTTTTTTCCTTTCGATTTAAACCTACAGTATATAGTGCATATTCTAAAGAAAGATCTAAAATGCAGATATAAACCGTGTAATATTTCTGATGATGACATCAGACAAGCAGTTTCATGAAGAGAATGTAAAAAGTATTATATTAAAGTCATTGAATATATTTTTTAATATGTTGTTAAAGTTTTTTTTTGTGATTTAGACTTAGACTTGACTTTATTAATCCCTTGGGATTACTCCCTTCGGGAAATTGTATTTCCAGTAGCAGGAAAAAAATTGCACATACAAGAAAATAGAGGATGTTTAGGCACAGTATATGCAATAGAAAAATAAAAACAATTAAATAAGATGTAGGAAGATGTATTGGGGGATGAGGATAGACAAATAAATACAGAGGGCTATAGCAAAACAATAACTTAAATTAAAACTTATGTAGTGTATTGCACTTGGATGGTTGAGGAAAGAGAGTGGCATAGAAATAAGTACTTTTAGTACAATGATTAAATTATTTATGGCGACACATAAATATCTGCCTGCACATGTGCAAATGAGCTGATGGTACGGATCTGGTATTGACTGCACCAAACAAGGCTGGAGGGAATACTCTGATTTGATTGGTGATCATGAAAAGAGTACTATAGTTTCTGCAAAGCAGATGCACTCCACCAATCCTAACCAACGCCGCCCAACAGATAAAACTCTTCCTTCTTATCTGAGTATAAGAACATAAAACAAAAGCAACTCAAAATGAAAAAATATGGAGTAGTTTTCAAAAATAAAAGTGTCACAAAGTAATACTACATATTTCCTTTATTTCATGGGGATATTTAATTTCTTTTTAATGGATTATTTATTGAAAATTTATCAATAGCAGTATTTATTTAATTTTTAATACAACGGTTCTCCATACAAGTGCAGTCTGATCAGCCTCATGCATTTTCAGTGAGTTTTAACTGCCACAACCTTATATGATCTGATTTTTCATCAGATCGGACTAGGGCTGAAACATCGGATTAATTGGGATAAATAACTCATTTAGTAATTCCCCTGGTTTAAATTTTAAAATTTTCTTTATTGCACCTTTTGCAATCACCTTATTTATTGATTACGGTAATTGAAAAAATAATTTATTACAAAAAGTAATTAGTTGCAGCCCTAGATTAGACATTAGATTGTTTTTGATGTGTTCAGACCTTAACAGTTACGCAGAAATTCTCCTGGTCTGTAAACAGACTCCCATGGCCATAAGGTGGGTTAAGTTGACGTTTGGATCAGACATTCAAAAACTTTGCTTTGATCGTAAGAGGTTTCATTTTTATAAAGAAATCTTCAACTCACTGATTTCAACTGATGAAATCATAGATGAAACCATTTCAGTTATTAAAAAATAACTAATCAATAACACAGGAATGTGTGTTAATAATTCAGAACCTAAACATTATCTCTACTCTTATGACATAATGATTAAATTATATGTACATTTTATTGCCTGAATGGTAGTAAACACAGTTTGCTATTCTGCTCCTATACCTTACAAGAATCACCATGGGCTCCATACATAAGTGGATGTTTGCATTAGACTAATTTTCAGATGGCATTCACTAGGTGGGAGGCATTAGTAACCTTCAGTGCTCTGTTCTTTCTAAAGCACCTGTTGGGAATCAGGATTTGTTTCATACAAGTCTAAACAGCAGCCCCACGGCAGAATTCTAACACCACACTCTGGTCCCTAAGGAACTGTCAGGAAAATACGAAGGTCTTTCTGGCTTCTAAACCTCCTCTCAGTGCATTTTCCTTAGTGGAAAAGAGATCCAGTTATTTTCTTTAATGAGTGCAGTGTCCTCCCAGTTTCTCACTGACCTCTCTGCCAGCCCTTCTTAAGAGAATTTCCTTCTAATCTCTGCTCTGTTCTTTATTATGCAATTCTCTGCTCCCTTTTTGGTCTTGTTTCCCGTTCTCTGTTCTTCTACTCTCGTCAGATTTCCCCTCAGGTCATCGCCGCGGCACAATCAGTGTTGTCATGCAGTGTCTGGAAAGACTCGGTAAGGGGACAGAAGACGGAAGGGGGTCCCCATGGGAATGGAAGGAGCGGGGAAAATGGAGGCGTAAACAGTCTGATGGGTAGCTGGTGGGATGATAGTGGGACTTAACAGGAGGACTGGCTGACATTTACCTGAGGGAGAACAATTATATTAGAGCCCGATGCACCGTCTCCACTGGGAGCTCGGGGCAAACAGGGCTGTCATTTACTCAAAGGAGAGGGAGGGGGGCAGGGATCACTAAAAACACCTCATACACCCAGTGATTTTCACAATCTGAATATGATCTGTTATTCAGTGTATTTATTTTTTCACACTGCTGGAAAATCAGAATTTTACTTTAGAAAGACCTACCTACAGCTTGTCACACATACATGTATTTGACATTAATCATATTTTGGGAATAAATTATAAACTCTTTCTTTTAAAAGCTTTATGTTTTCTTGAAGCATGAGAAACATTAATCCTAAATTCCCATATATCTGACCATTCCTTCACAGCAAAGGCGTAGGTTTGATTTCCACTTTGGTAGGGACACTATTGTTCCTAAGTTTCATTAATGTCATTTTACCTATGCAAAAACATGCATGCTTTTTTATGCTTGACGTGAGCATCAGGGTGCATTTGGTTTAAAGAGAAAAGCAGCATTTCTTGCTACATGTATACTAATTTTATAAGCACTACACACACTAGATGCTGTTTATCAATGTTTGAAGCATCACTGGCTCTGATGAATCTGGAATTACGACTTTTTTCCACTTTGAAAAGGTTTGCATTTAAACTTACCAGTGATTAAAACAGTAGCTAAATATATGCTAACTTAACCAAATATAGTCTAAATATGCCCGTTATATGTGGATTTATCCTGTATTTTCTTTGGAAGATATATAATTGTGCAAAGGTAAACAGGTTAAACACTCTTATTTTTTTAAATGCTCTCTCTGTATCATGAACCAACGCAAAATAACACATTCAAGGAACGCAAACACATTTATTGTTTTTACATTTAGTAGCATCATCTACAAAAAAAAAACAACAACACTAAGAATGAGACTAAATGTATTCCAATATAAAATCACTTTTTAACAATTATTAAAAGAAAATATAACACCATCTTGTCTATAATGTAATAATATCCAAAAATAAAAATTTAAGCATTTTTACCAAAAACTAATGTTTGTACTAATTTACTTATGGACTGTGTGGAAATCTATGTAAAATAAAATCAATGTAAATATTGTTCCTCTGTTTGTTATTGGCTTTATCCTATTTTTAAAAGTAGAAATAGTCAAAGACATATTATGTAGAACTGTAATTATGCTTTCTAAACAGACAATATCAGATGTTTAGGCGCCATCTCGTGTCGTTATTCTCTATAAAAGAAATAACACCTGCTATTTGTAGCTGAACTGCCTCAAAGGGTCGTAATAAAACGAAAACATTAACTGCAATGAATTATTGTTAAAAGGGAAACCCTCACATTTTCTTTTTCAGTCGGCCGTGGCTAAGAATCAGCAATCAGCAGCTTTCATCTGTTTTAGTGTAGATGAAATAAAATTTTTTCATTAGGACTAATTTCGTGCTCCAAGCACGAACACACGCATACGGACTAGAAAACAGCCCATCAGGAAGAGAGAAGGCGGAACTTGAGGCCGAACAACCAATGAGAGTGGAGCTAAACAGCACGGTTACTTATTTAAGGGACAGGACTCGATGGAGCGGCAGCAGCAGCTACTAAGCTGCGGAGCTGCGAGAGAAAAAGAATTCACCACGCTGAATTTTAAATTATAAACATGTTATTCAAACCGAATTATTGGTAGGGACAAATAGGTTGGTCGATAATTTTGGTAGGGACATGTCCCTATGGTCCCTATGCAAACCTACGCCCATGCTTCACAGCATCCACACATTTTTTTAGGTATAAAGAGAAAGGCAAGTTGTGGTGATGCAGTATGCTCATTAATTCCCCCGTAGCTTCAGCCTTAGGTTAAGTTTCTGAACAGGGTGTGTACAAGATATGCGGAATTGGCGGAGATGTTTCATTGTACAGCTCTAGAACTATGCCAGACCTGGATGGAGGGAAGGTCAACTGATCTTTTTGTTTGTTGCAGTGTGGACCTGTCCTGTTTTAGTAATAAGCTAAACCTCACAAATATGGAATTGCATAAAACAACACTAGATAATGGCAATGTAAAAATGATCAGCGGCTTCTATAGATAATTATTCAACTAACTGTCTTAAACAACACGTTTTAGCTCTTTTGTGTTAGCTCAATAATTTTACCAGCTACAAACAGACCTGGGGTAGTGAATCCCAGCCTGATTCTTGACCAGTCTTGCTTCAATAACATTTCTAAACAAGACATCTTATTTTAAACCATGGGTGCTTGTTCCATTATTGGTGTGAGTGAAAATATGAGCAATGCACAGCTGAAGAAACAAAAACCATGGAAAGGATAAAAAATTAAAAGAAGTTTGACCCATGTAATATTCAACACAGTTTTGAGACCCAATTTCCTGAAGGTTTAAAATGAGTATTACTGAGAACAAATAATGTAGCAGTGGTGGGATGTTCTCCACCTATGGGGGAATCCTAACAATAATAAACAAAAAAAAGGAGAAGAGTCCACTACACAGCTAAAATGGTTAAGCAGGCTGATAGAAACACAATAACATCCATGGCAATAGCCAACTTGCCCTTTCAGCAGAACAGGCAGATGTGTTTGAGTATAAACTAAAAAAGCAAGATTTACTCATGATGAACTAACAGCAATAATGGTCAGTTTTAGAGTGTATGGGGAATAATATCTTCATCTTACAGCATAGGAGCTTCAGCTGAGCCCATCAACCTTAATACCTATATTATTGACTGACAGCTTTTACATTCCAGTAGAGGGGACACAAGGACACAGCCAATCCTAGCAGGGTATTTTCTTTTAGATTCAATATTCAATATCATTTTTGTTGCTGTTATTATCATGATTATCAACAATAAGTGCTGATAACATAATCAAGATAAGGGGAGATTATTAAATTCATCCATTAAAAAAATAAAGGTTTCGTATCTACCTTGGTCAGTCGGTATGAGCGGGACGTCCTTCGCAGCAGGAGACACACACAGTATCTGGTTGCCGTTTACTCTCCCCTCAATCTCTGTCAGGTTGCCAAAGGAGCAGGTGATGCCAACGGAAAGGTCCGGGACATCGCTTACCTTCACCAGCAGCTGCACATGGGACAGAGAAACAACTCATTACTTGATGACCATTGGCAAACAGCCTTTTGGACGCTAATCCAATCAGTTGAAAACATTTTATTTACAGATAATGATAAAGGGAATACAGGGAAAAGAAACCAGCTGAGGTTAAAGCCATTTGGTTGGGCAAAGGACAAGGCAGAACTTTTGAAGAAATATAGAGGCTTTAGAGCAGCAGTAGATGCTTTGAAAAGAAGTATAAAGAAGAACACAGGGCTGCTGGCAAAGCTGCCAATCTTTTCAGCCAAATACTGTCTCTGGGATTTAAAGGCCTTGGTATCAGAGAAAATAGGATCCTATACCTCTATTTGCCTACAGATGATATTATTTCACAGGTAAACACTGATATTTTAAAGAAATACATGTAAAAGGCTAAAGGAGAGAAAAAGATGGACTTCGATTGTAAAATTAAGTTTATTTTCTTCTTCCATTTCTTAACCCCTTTGAATTCATGAGCTGGAAAAGAAAGAAGACATAAAGCATGAGAGTTATTGTAAATACAATAAGGCTTGCACATGCATATGCACATTCAGACCTTTGAAGTCGGTCTCTGGAGAGCAGTGACACTGAGGCCGGACGTTTCAGCAGCTCCATCTATAAATAAATGCATTCAGCACAGGGTGCGTGATCCGGCTCTCCAGCCAAGAGAGGCAGTGTGGATAATTATCACCATGGCATTTCACAGCCTTGGTTTTATTAGTTGTTATTTTTGGGCCGTGGCTCTTGAAGTTCGCTGTTGTTTTATCTGCCTCTTACTAGGCGACGCAGAGCTGGTAGGATAGGCGAAGCAGCTGAGCAGCCTGACTGCAGGTCTTTTCATAAAAACTACCTTCACACTGCCTCCCTTGTTACCTGCCTTACAGCCGACACCCTTACAGCCGACAGGAGGGATAATTTCTCTTTTTCAGCTGAGGACCTCTTGTCTTCCCCCTGTTTTACTTTGCCCGTGTTTGTGTTGCCTCGCTGTGAGGCATCAGAGAGATCCTTGATTACAGCAATCAGCAATCAATGTCTTTTGTTCAATTTCGGATTTCCCGAGCAACCTCTCATATTAATTAGCTCTCACCATAGTCATGTGCATACACACATCTGCAGATAAAGACTTCAGAATTTGCTCATGAACATATTTAAACACAAAGTGAGAGAGTAAGCGTGTCTCGGGGCATTAAGCTATTGCTCTTTTTTGTTTTCCTGCCTTCTCTCATGATGCTGGCTGTGGGTGTTTTTTGTAGTTTGGCAGCAACAGACATATTTGGTGGCAGATTTGTAGCAAGCACATTTTTTTCGTCTTTTCTTCCTGCTCTGCTTATGTATCTGTCCTGAAACCCATATGAGGAGTCTCAGTTGTCATGGAGATGGCAATTACCTTCCCAGGATTTTGTGTCCTGGCTCTGATTGTTTAAGGTGGGATGAGCCTCCAGCAGGTGTGGCTGACAGGTAGGAAATGACTATGGAGTAAACTAGCATTCTTTAAAGTGGCCAGCAGGGGAATTTCAGTCCAGTTTAATTTAAAAAAAAGACATGAACAAAGGATGAGGCAATGCCTTTTCTTAGCCTTTCTTTGAATTGTGGGACTTTAGAAAAACCTGAATGATGAATCTGCATTCAAAGCTAACAAAACAGCAATGGCTTAAACCTAAGCTTGCCCTCACAGGCCTCTTTATTAGGTCCACATTGCCAGTAAAAGTTGATACCCTATTCTAGTTTCAGAACTACCTCAAATCTTTGTTGCATGGGATTCTATACCTGCTAGGAGACACACTAGACATTTTGGTCCATTCTTACATAATTTTATCACACAACAGCTGCTGATTTATTGGTCCGATATCTCTAACAAATTACATTTTCCGCCTTCTGCAAATGCTGGGTTGTGATGTGCTGACTGCGGCGGCCATTGCACTGCAGCGAATTTAATGGCATGTTGAGAAATTTGCTTAAAGATATTTGAGCTTAGTGACATGGTGAACTAACCTGCTTGAAGAAGCCAATGTGTAATTAAAGATTGGATATGGGCAACATCACAGCCTTGATGGTAAAGATCCATCTTTTTGAAGGTGTGACATCTTGTGTTTTCAGTGAATATATTCTGTGATCCTTGAGTTTTTTAAGATCCTGTTACCTTCCATCATATTATTGCCTATTTTCCTGATACTTGTCTCTCTTTAATAAATAGTTTCCACTTTTTTGATAATTCTTTGTAAGTCTGAGAGATAGCAATACTCAGTGCATCCCATCTTACACCAACAATCCAGTTTCTTCCCAACTCTTATGTTTAGCTTAAACTTCAACTGGTTGTCTCAACCAGTTTACTTACTATTGTGTAAATGTCCATCGATACGTCTGTCTGTCCATCCACCCATCGTTTTCTGCTTATGAAAATCAGTTTGCAGAGAAAACTGGCCCAAGGGTAAAACTTAGGTGTCCCTCTACCTAGCGACAATCTCTAGCTTGTTCTGGAGCTACCTAAGGCATTATAGAGCCAGAAGGGAAAAACCTTAGCAAGACCCAGGTTATGCTAGATAGACTGCCAGCAGCGCAGGTCTTGTAATTGACAGAGGTGCAATAGAGATATGCCCATTAAGCACCCTGGTCAAACACCAAAACAACCTCATGTGACAAATTCCGATCTCACTGCATCTCCATTGATACTGTATATGAATACAACAACTGGATCACTTCTGCTTCAGAAGAATAGGGGAAAAAAACTCAATCCATCTCTATCTCCAGTTTGTAATCACTCATTAAAAATAATCCAAGACAATCGAACACCCATGCTTAAGGTTTTTAAATATTGACCCTGCGGACCTGTGGGGTCAAAGAAATGCTTTTATTATAACCTGGCTCTTAAAAAGATCTATATGTGATCATTTTCATTAGATTTAGCCCGTAAGTACTTCCCTTTGAGATATAGACATGTATGTTTGTAAATTTTTTTTCCGTTTATCAAGAGCAACAATTCATCGAAGTGTTACACATTTATAAATAGAACCAAGATAAAAAACCAAAAGTGATTTAAAGGCTCTTTGATTTCAAGTGTATCTATCATGCATTACTCATGGGGACAGAAAATACACACAGGCGTTAGTTTTAATGGGGTTCTAGTTATAAAGTATCATGATTGGTAGTGACAATTCAACACACAGCAGTCTGTTTTTGAGCCAAGATAATACCTTCCATAAGAAGATACCTTTTTCCAGAGGCATCTCTGTAGTATAGCATATTAATAGAATATGAGCTAATGTCAATATTCAGTTTATACAAATATAATTTTTCTACATCAATGAAAAAGGGACACACCCCAATGCATCTCTATTTGGTTATATGTCAGAGGACCTTAACTGTCAAATAAACGGTTTGGCTTGGATAATATCAGGTATTATACCTTTTGCATGTCACAAATCTATATTTCAATGGAGCATTCATTTAGAAGGATGGATGATGGATGAACAGACAATCAGTTAGCTGGCAGTGACAAAGAACATCTGCAAGAAAGGAAAAAAACAAAACAAAAAACATCAACTATGGATTTTCTCTGTCACTGGTTCTTAGTCTGGGAAACTGAGCAGGACTGTTATTCTTGTCTTAATTTGAAAACATTCTTATGATATTTAATGCTACAAAAATAATAAATGTAAGCTGCATAACCCCACCTATATAAATAAGATTTTTTTTAATCGATAAGTCTAAAACATATTCACACAGTAATATGCTACTAGATTTATTCCCATTTTGCTGTAGTATAGTTGTTTTTTTGTTTTTTTTTTATCCATTTTGGAGGGCTCTGCTAGGTAGTGTTTCGTGACGATCTAGAAAATCCCGTAAAGGAGATAGTCATCATCTTATAAACTTATCTTGGATCAGTTGCAGGGTAAGGGAGCCAGATGACATAGATACCAAGGCAATATTATGGTGTTACTGCACAGAGTGCCAATATTGCCGAAGCCATACAAGACTTGGATAAAAAACTGATAAAAAACATTTGGGGGATTTTTAGAAAGAAATGAAGAAACTCTGAGAAAGAAGCTTTCCAAGTCCACATGAATTAGAAAAAAAATTTAATATCCCACAGCTATTGCAAGGAAATCAATCTGTAAATGAAGAGCAGAAAATGACCCTTTGCCAGTGTGGGTTTATAAAGCCAAAGTATGTATCAGAGTTCCTACTAAAGATGAAGAGCATTTTCCACAACTTTCAATTCTGATCTCTGACCGTTTTGACTCAGCCCATGTGGAAATAATGCACTGTACTCTTCTGCACCCTGGCAACTTTACCGCCTACATACTCTCCCACGCAAACACGTCTTGGCACAAATATTGACTGCTCCGCAACAAATGAACATATGCATGCCTAAAACACCCACGTGAAGCTCTTAAAAAACCTACCCATCTAATGTTTATGCATGAGGCATAATCAGGACCAAATGAACTGCTCGCTGGCCCGATTCAGGTCTTTTCTCAGGATTTTAAGTTTTTTTGTTTCAGGTGCAACATTTCGGTCATGTGAGAAAACTTACGGGCACACTTGGCTCTGATACTGCAATGCTGTCAGGATAGACAGTGGCCTTGACACACTGGTTGAGGGAGGCAGCAAAACGATACGGCTCATCTGCTCGCTCACACCACTTCCTTTGAGAGCATCTGGATGGGAAAAAGGAACATCAGTCAAAGAAAGACAGAGTTAGGTTTTATACACTCCTTTAAATGAATGAATAAACCATAAGGTAAGCTTAACCACTAACACAAACTGACAGTCTTAAAGGTGGAGGACTTCCACAGGTTAGTGAAAAGACCCCCCCTTCTATGAGTGACGCGTCTATGAGTTGCATCACTCATAGAAGCTTACTTTTCAAAAGAAGATTTGCAATTTTCTCACCATGTCAGACTCACCACCAGTAAATGAAAATGGGCATGACTAGGACGGCCTTACATAAAGATATCACCACAATTAGGAGGACCATTTATTTTAATGATTCACCTGGAAAAAAACATCCTCCACTATACCTATAAGTATGGAAAAAAAGAATAATGATGCAACAATAAAATTCCTAAGAACCCACACTTTTAGATTTCAATTTGTAAAATCAACTTTCCTAATTAGACTTTGCATTTAGTTGTTTTACGTATAAAATTCCACTACAATCCTTTTAAAGTTATAGCTTCATAAATGACGAAATACATAAAAGTTCAAGAAGTATTAAAACGATTTGAGATTGTGCAATCTCTAAATACTCTATGGTGCTCTTTGCACCACAATCTGATCTATCAACTATGGAATAACTTAACAGATGTAACTACCTCAAATTGAAAGGCACTTTCTCGTAAGAGATCCTGGAGGTCAGACAGGATATCAAGTAGCAAACGACACAGATATATCCCTCATTAAAACTTTGCCTCCTTCTTCCCATTAAAACTGAGTGCTCCTTCCACACCGTTACACCAAAGGCTCTGTATCGCCAACCAACCCGGCAGTGTTGGCGTTAAGCTAACTGGCTGACTGGTCACAGCAGCTTTAATTGGACCCTGATAGGTCAGCCATTGTCCATGCCGCTAATGTACTTCTACAACAGTGTGTGGGGTTGTGTGTGTGAGTGTGTGTGGCAGTTTGTGTTAAGGCTCATATCATGCTCTTTAACCACACCGTCTCACATAGACAAAGCTACAACTTCATCCCAAGCCTCTGTGTGTAATTATGTTGTCAGAAGTTGAAGTAGACTTAAGCACAGCAAAGCTCACACCAGAACACACACATAAAGTCACTCACATGTAAACACTTTAGTGCAGAGTTTTCTCTTGGGAAACCTTTAGAAATGATTACCTGGTTTCTTCTTTTTGGTTATTTATTTAATTGATTTTTGCAATTAAATATGACTTTTTATTTACCTTCTCTCTTCTGTTCAGGGCACACAATTGACTCAATTTGCTGCTTTTTTTGTGCATGGCTTTCCCATTTATCTGCTTATATTTTTCACTTTTCCCTTGCTTTTTCACAAGTTTAAATTAGTATACCTTTTATTAGACAAGGTGTTACTCAGCCTGCAACGAGGTGCTTTCTTTTCTTTATTTTCTTTTTTTGCATTCACAATAGAAGCAGAAAATGATCCTTAATGTGCGTTCAGGTGTGGGCTGTGGCACAATGTTTTATGCATGTCTCCAAGGCCGTATGGGTACAGATGCAAAACCTGACCTGTTATTAAGGCACAAAAAGCTCCGCATTTATTTTCCATAATGTGAGACTTAATTTATTTTTTTTGGAATAAAAAAAAAAACGTTTTTCAGTGAGGTGAAGTAAGATGAGAGCACAGCAAGAGGGGATGAGGCAGCAGGGGTGGGAGACGTGCAGGATGTTTGCTGTTGCCATGGTTTCTGGAGACGGTCATTATCTTTTTGTAGTTAGAAGCTGACCTCTTTGCCTCCCTCATTAGCTGAAGAGTGTGCCACAGCGTGTTGACGACAGTCCTGCCTTCCTCACCCCCCCCCCAACTCCAACAACCTCGGTACAATCTATTATCTTCCTGCTTCAGTCCGGCCTGTCACTCACTTTCCTCCCTGATGCTTAGCGTTTCATCACTGCATTCCCCACATGTGTGCTCAAGCACACCCTGTTACGCCTCCATGCCTAGATACTGCACATACATCCACTCTATCCAGTCCATTTCATGTAATAAGCGGTAAATATTTTTCCTTTGCCTGTAGTAAAAGCTAGAGGCAATTGACCCTGATATTGTTCCATCAAAACTCTGCCCTTGTTGCTGAAATGGCTGCTTCCTTGTTTTTTTGCAGTGCCTTGTAAAAGTATTCATACCCTTTGAGGGTTTTCCAAGTTGGCAAGACAAAAACACTTTGCTTACAAGTTGAAACACCTTTGAGAACCATGTTTTTCACATGGGTAGCTCTAAACTGCTAAAGGCTTTTTATTTATAAACTCCAGATTTGTTGGGTATAAAACAAATAGTTGTCCTATCAACTTTCTCCCACACATGTGGATCTCTGTGCTTCTCTATACTGTAGTTATTACAGCTACCTTATTTGCTTCAGTCAGTTTATGTTGAGAAAAACTTGGAATATAAAAACTGAATATTAAAATACCTGAATTTTAACTTTTCCATTGTCTTTATCACTCCCCTGTTTTGTTTATTTTTGGCATATATTTGTTTTATTTTTTGAAATAATGTTTTCTGAAGAACTTCTGAGACCTTCACAAAAAGCCTAAATGTAGCTGCTCTGGTAGTTTAACTATCATAAAACCCATTGACATTGTTATAAATTAGATGATCTCTAAAAAAGTAAATAATTGCTTTGGGTATTATTTTAGGGTACTTAGGAATTATACACTTTTCAGAACTCTATGTTTCTTTAATAAAAAAAAAAATGTATTTGCTAAAACCAGTTGTTAAAACCCATATAATACCCTCCAGACATTTTTGTGTTCAAATAATCCAGAGCAAGAATTTCCAACTAATCAATTTGAACAAATTCTAACATACACATCCCTCAGCCTTGAAAGGAGGGAGGGAAAGGCACGCACTGATGAAGGTTTCTGCTCTTCTATCTATCCCTTTTCTACGCCTTTGCTCTCTCCTTTTCTCCATAGAAGAAGGATGTCAGTGAAAGTTTGAGGCCTATCTAAATGCTGCACTTGCTGTGAAAACGATGCTTAAAACCAGGAGGGAAAGACTGAAAAGAAGCCATAAAACAAAACACCGCCATTACCTAACTGGTAACAGGAACAGAAAAATGCCATGTGGAGAGGAAAATGACCGAACAATGGAGATGGCTTGCCTGTAAGCAAGGGGGCATACTACTGGGCTGATGCAGGGAGTCCAATACCATTAGTCCCCACCAATCATCAGACCTCTGAAGTATTGTTTTTTTAAAATGCATTGGGAGGGTGATGAAGGAACTAGGAAAGACTTGAGGAAAAAGATGAGATCAAGAAGAGAATAAAGGTAATGAAAATGCAATGAAGGAAGGGACAAGGTAGAATAAAAATGGTGAAAACAAATAAAAATAGAAAAAGGCACAGGAAGACACAAAAAAATAAGAGAAATAATATCTGCAATGGGTCCAGTACCACGCTTATTAAAATTCTGATCTGGGCACCATGACCAGTTTGTTATTTGTGACGGACAAGGCTTTTTTCTGCTAATAACTACCTGCGGCGCTAATATGTGGATGCTTACAGTAATCAGCCATGGAGAGAGATGGCAAGGAGCAGAAAGAAGCACAGAGAAAATGACAGAAAATGTCAAAATTGTTATTTTTAACTTAACAAAAGAAAAGTGCTAAACTGCAAAACTGAATAAGCATTCCATAGCAGCATATCCTCAATGCTGCAATGCACTATGGCTACTCATAAAACAAGCTAAAGTATTTCAAGTATCAGAAAAATTTTGAATTTTTCATCTGATTACTTGATAAATCATCAAAATAATCGATAGAATATTGGATAATTAAAATAATTCTTATCTGTACCCATAAATCAAACCATGAAAAAAATAATCATGGAAGAAAGGAAAGAGACAACACAACCTGAGGTGAGGAATCAGGGAATGGAGAAAAGGTAGAAAAGAAAGAATAAGGAATGACTGGAAGGATGACCTGAGAAGAAAAAGGGAGTATTTCTAACTGAATAACATGAACATGAATGTAAGGTTAAAAAAATATGGATGGAGGGTAGAAGCCAAAGGGAAGAAAATTAGGTAGGAGAAAAAAATATATAGGGACAATTTGAAGGATGTAGAAAAAGTAGATTAAGGGTCAAAAATAAAGGAATGTGAGGAAGGAAACAAATGGGGAAAGAGTGAAGAAAAATGAGCACGTAACTAAGAAAAGAATTGCACTTAAACAAATGAGAGAAAAAAAGAGAAGAGAAAAATGTAACGAAGCAATAAATCAAGTAAGAAAGGGATAAATGGAAGCAAAGGGAGGTGGGGAGGTGTAACCAGCAGGAAAGAAACAATAAATAAGGTCAAGACAGGAGGAAGAAAAAAATGTACGGAAGCAAGAATGGAATAAAGTAAAGTAAGCAAAAAAAATGTAAAAGTACAGCCTAAATATGACTAGAGTTTTGGTGACTCACAAACATGCAATCATGGACTCACATCTCGGTAGAAACAACAACCTAAACTATATGACTGTTTGCTGTTCTTCCTGATACTGTGTCTGCAGGATGGCAGGACAGACTGAGCACTGCTAGGGCGCAATCAATTTACATCATCTCAAATATCTCATTGAAAGTGATGTAGTGTAAACTAAGTCCCCATTTCTATACAGACACCCTGAGCTGTCCTTTCATATACACGTTTTAAGAGGGCCAGGAGTCCAAGACTCGTTCAATGGTGAGGGCTTTCGTCGCCTTACAGCCCACCACAGATTGTCCCAAAAGAGACGTGAGGAGGGAAAAGGGAAATGCAACAAAAGAAGACATGGATGCCTCTAATAAAATAACAGCAGGATGTAACAAATCCTCACAGTCTTTAACTGTATTTTATGTCACCTGTCCATATGTACTGTACATACTGCAGCACAGTACCAGTTCTACGTGCCAGGAATCTATAGAAATATTGATGGAGCTGCATGTTTGTGATCAATATCTCATTAGGCTTCATTGGTAAGATGGATGTAGCCTCCCTCTGTCT